AATCGGCCCATAGCTCCGCCGCTGCATATGGCTCCTGCCAGTTGCCGATAATTGTGTTACAAAACATGGTCATCTCATACAATAAAATTTAGCATCATGTCTTGATCATATCACAACACAACATGCCCTGCAAAAACAAGTTAGACGTCATCTACTTTGTTGTTGCAATTTTTACGTGGCTCCTATGGGCTGAGCAAGAACCGTTCTTACCTACACATCAAAAACCACAACGCGGTATAGTGATTGCTTTTTGATCTTCAGAAAGAACTCTGTTCATTGAATTCGATTCAACTAAAGTTGGAGAAACTGACACCCACCAGCCACCCGTGTGCGAAGCACATCGGTAGAACCAGTCTCGCGTAAGCGTACGCATAATGTTGGTCTGGGCAGCTTCATCCAACAATACTGCTGAATCAAGAATCAACTAGTGATGGCAAGCAATATGTATATACCCACGCCCATAACTCCTTTGTGTTCTACTCGTGCATATAACATCTAAGCATAGACCTAGCTCAGATGCCACTGTTGGGGAACGTAGTAATTTCAGAAAAAAAATCTTACGCACACGCAAGATCTATCATGGTGATGCATAGCAACGAGAGGGGAAGAGTGTTGTCCACGTACCCTCGTAGACCTTAAGCAGAAGCATTATGACAACGCGGTTGATGTAGTCGTACGTGTTCACAATCCGACCGATCCTAGTACTGAAAGTACGGCACCCCCGCGATCTGCACATGTTCGGCTCGGTGACGTCCCATGAACTCTCGATCCAGCTGAGTGTCGAGGGAGAGCTTCGTCAGCACGACGGCGTGATGGCGGTGATGATGAAGCTACCGGCGCAGGGCTTCGCCTAAGCATTACAACGATATGACCGAGGTGGATTATGGTGGAGGGGGGCCCCGCACACGGCTAAGGGATCAATGATCAACTTGTGTGTTCTAGGGTGCCCCCTGCCCCGTATATAAAGGAGCAAGGGGGAGGCCGGCCGGCCCTTGTGGCGTGCCTTTCCTAGTCCTACTAGGAGTAGGACTCCCCTTTCCTAGTCCTACTAGGAGGGGGAAAGGAAGGAGGAGAAGGGAGAAGGAAAGGGGGGCGCCGCCCCCCTTCCCTAGCCCAATTCGGACTAGAGGGGGAGGGGCGTGCGGCCTGCCCTAGCCGGCCCTCTCTCTCTCTCCACTAAGGCCCATGTGGCACGTTAGTTCCTCGAGGGGTTCCGGTAACCCTCCGGCACTCCGGTTTTCTCCTAAATCACCCGGAACACTTCCGGTGTCCGAATATAGCCGTCCAATATATCAATCTTTATGTCTCGGCCATTTCGAGACTCCTCGTCATGTCCCTGATCATATCCGGGACTACAAACTACCTTCGGTACATCAAAACACATAAACTCATAATACCGATCGTCACCAAATGTTAAGCGTGTGGACCCTACAGGTTCGAGAACTATGTAGACATGACCGAGACACGTCTTCGGTCAATAACCAATAGCGGAACCTGGATTTTCATATTGGCTCCCACATATTCTACGAAGATATTTATCGGTCAAACCGCATAACGATATACATTGTTTCCTTTGTCATCGATATGGTCCTTGCCCGAGATTCGATCGTTGGTATCTCAATACCTAGTTCAATCTCGTTACCGGCAAGTCTCTTTACTCGTTCTGTAATGCATCATCCCGTAACTAACTCATTAGTCACATTGCTTGCAAGGCTTATAGTGATGTGCATTATCGAGAGGGCCCAGAGATACATCTCCGATACTTGGAGTGACAAATCCTAATCTTGATCTATGCCAACTCAACAAACACCATCGGAGACACCTGTAGAGCATCTTTATAGTCACCCAGTTACGTTGTGGCGTTTGATAGCACACTAAGTGTTCCTCCGGTATTCGGGGGTTGCATGATCTCATAGTCATAGGAACATGTATAAGTTATGGAGAAAGCAATAGCAACAAACTAAACGATCATCGTGCTAAGCTAACGGATGGGTCAAGTCAATCACATAATTCTCTAATGATGTGATCCCGTTAATCAAATGACAAGTCATGTCTATGGTTAGGAAACATAACCATCATTGATTCAACGAGCTAGTCAAGTAGAGGCATACTAGTGACATTCTGTTTATCTATGTATTCACACATGTACTAAGTTTCCGGTTAATACAATTCTAGCATGAATAATAAACATTTATCATGATATAAGGAAATATAAATAAACAACTTTATTATTGCCTCTAGGGCATATTTCCTTCAGAAGTGTCATGTAGTCGACGTTCACATAATACCACTAGAGGAAGAACAACATACATATCATCAAAATATCGAAAGAATACCAACTTCACATGATTATTTATAACAAGACTTCTCCCATGTCCTTAAGAACAAGAGTAACTACTCGCAAATCATATTCATGTTGAAGATCATATGTGTATTGAATATGCTTAAGGATCTAAACATATAATCTTCCACCAAATAAATCAACTAGCATCAACTACAAGATGTAATCAACACTACTAGCAACCCGCACATACCAATCTAAGGTTTTGGGACAAAGATTGAATACAAGAGATGAACTAGGGTTTGAGATGAGATGGTGTTGGTGAAGATGTTGATGAAGATTGGTCCTCCCATGATAAGAGGATCATTGCTGATGTCGATGGCTTCGATTTTCCCCTCCCGGAGGGAAGTATTCCCGGCGAAATTGCTCCGCCGGAGAGCAGAAGTGCTCCTGCCAAGGTTCCGCCTCGAAATGGCGGCGCTTCGTCCCGAAAGTCTCTCCATTTTTTTTCTCTAGGGCAAAACTCTTCATATAGCAGAAGATGGGCACCGGAGGCCAGCTGTGGGCCCCACAAGGCATCAGGGCGCACCCTATTGACTTGTGAGCAGCAGGTGGCCCCTCTCTGGTATTTTTTTGTTTCAATATTTTTTATATATTCAATAAAAAGTCTGCATGAAGTTTCAGGTGATTTGGAGCTCCGTAGAATAGCTATCTCCGTTGTAGCTCTTTTAGGTTCCGAATTCCAGCTGCTGACAATCTCCTTTTCCATGCAAATTATGCAAATTAAGTGATAAAATGCATTAGAATTGCATCATAAAGTGAAGAAATGACCAAAAACATTATAAAAGACAGTAGGAAAACATTGCAAAAATGGACATATCAAGCACTGGCTCGTGGGGGAGCAAATTGGCGGCACTGCTCATGTCCTCCCGCACGGCCCTGGACATCCACCGCGAGTGATGGCGGCTCCGTGTCCAGCAGGCGAAGAAAAGAAGGTATGTTCGCGGAGGTCGACGCGGCGACGGAGGAATTTGATGACGGCACAAATGACGCCGCCTGCTCTGCATCGACCGCGCGTTGCCGACACAACGATGAGGCCGACATGTCCATGGTCACCACCGATAGCGAGTAAGAGTAGAACGGGTGAGGCTGCCGCCGCTTGGGTCCCAAGAAGGCCACCGCCACCATCTTGCCCAGCCTTATAATCGGTGAGCTTGCCCACTTCGCGGAGGCAAAGACCACTATTCTTTCTCTCGTGCTGAAGCTAAACTTGGTGGGCTCATCGCTGACTGGTGAGATTGCCCGCTTTTGCAGAGGCAGAGGCTATTCTTTTCTTCCTGCTGAAACTCCAGTTCCAGGCATCATGGCCAGCCGACGAGCTTGCTGCCAGACATGAGGAAGACATATCATGGGAAACAGGCACGGGCGATTATTTAGACGAGGTTAGAATAGTGTTTAATTGAAATATGTCAAAGATGTAATGAATGTGCTCCAGTTTAGATGAAAATCATTCGGTTTTGTGTAAAAATTATCTAAGTCTGAATAAAACTTGTCCAATTTATTTAAATCTTGCATCGAATGTGATCAAACATTTGCGGCTAGTTTTGAATGACAGGCTTCTGTATCAGTGTCCGGACCCACGTCGACACCTTTCCCACGATGACGTTCGGTCATATTTCATGGTACTCCTCGGCCAACTTGTCAATCTTGTCCCCCATGGTGCCCATCTGCTGCTGGACGCCCTCCTCCTTCATGCCACTGTTTCTTTCCTCCATGGCGCCCATCTTCTTCTCCATGGCGCCCATCTGCTGCTGGACGCCCTCCTCCATTCCTATCTGCTACTGGACGACCTGATCCTCCATGACGCCCATCTGCTGCTGGACGATCTGATCCTCCATGACGCCAATCTTCTTCTCCATGGCGCCCTTCCCCTTGATGCAGATCTTCTCCGTGGCACCGGTCTCCGGCTCAGCTTCCATGGCGCCCGCATCCTCCCTCATCTCCGTGGAACCAATCTGGAAACATTCTCCTTTCATGTTGAACAACCTGTTTTTTTCTCTCCTACCCCGCTCAACCTTTTGCCATGGCTTATAAAAGGATGGAAAGAACATTATCCACAGCGTGCAGATTTTGTTTCACACTTGAGAAGAGGAAAAAGGGGAGGGGGAGGGGTTTCCATGGGGGAGAACGAGGGAATCGAGGAGGAAGAGAACGCTCGTGAACAAGGCTAGGAGAGGTTCGAAGAGAATTTAATGTTCCACGCATAAAGGTTTTGGAAAAATTTGGTTTTCGTAAGGTGACTTAGGCACATGAACGGAGGATGTAAGTGAAACATGTTTCATGCCACATTTGTTTAAGCAGCCCTACACCATGTGTAGTGGCATTATTTGACCGTTCCGGAGCTCGGAACTCACCAAACCACCAACAAGTCAAGAACATCCGTCCCCTTGAATCCAGGGCCACGCCGATTCCGGGACAAGAATTTACCACCTCACGTCGCATTTCCTTTTCTCCTCGTGCTCGCTCGCTCGCCCGCTCGGCCCCTCAAGTATACACTTGTCTAGCCTTCCACACGCTAGACAACAAACGCGAACCCGCGCCTCCCCCTCTGCTCTGCCTGCGCCCGCCCGCCCGCTCACAGGCGCTGCCAGGCAGTGCCATTACTGCCCCCACCCGTCTCTCCGGGCCCGAGCACGCCAGGGACACCGGATTCCTCGTCATGGCCGGTGACCGCCGCGGCGGCTCGCCCACGGCGGAGCGCCGGCGGGGGATCCGGCGCCTCCTGCTGCCCCGCGGGGAGGCCTCCTCCTCCTCGTCGTCCTCGGTGCCGTTGCCTCCCCCGGCCGCGGCCGAGGTAGGGCGGAGGAAGGGCTTCGCCGCCGCGGCGCTGCGCGGGCTGGGCTGCACGTCGGCCGCGGCCTCGCAGGCGTACGCGCCAGGGGCGGGCTCCGCGGCTGCGGCGGCCGTGCGGTCCTCGGCCGACTGGCACGGGCGAAGGAAGAAAGGGAAGGACAAGAGGAAGGAGAGGGGAGGGGGAGGGGGAGGTGGAGGCGGCCTTGTGGGCGGAGGGATCGGCGGCGACGTGTGGTGCGCCCCGGGGATACCGTTCGCCGCGGAGGCGTCGTCCGTGGACTGCGTGGTGGCGCGCCACCAGATGCTGGGGAGGGGCCGCGGCGGCGACGCCGAGAGGCCGCACAGAGAGGTGAGTGGCAGATGCTTCCTGGCTTGTTTGGATCTGCTCGCGCTCACGGCTTGTCCATTTCTCAGGATTGCTTGTTGTTCTTGCTGGTTAGTTATTCTCAGTTTTCTTAGCACCATTTCTCATGTGTGTCTGTTTTTGTGCTTTTTTTGAACTCGTTTTTTGTCTGTTGCTGAAAAGAAAGCGTGTGTTCTCCTCCAAGCATTCAGATTTTCTGGTGGCTGTTCTGCTCCGAAATCTTCCATTTCAATTTCACATTTGCGCCCTTAAATGCAATGTTCTGTTTAAGCATCTGAAACAGTGCTCCACGACCACGTTTGATGCCACCGAATTCTCCGTATGCAAGTGGGATGAATGAATCTCTCGCCATGTTCTGCCAGCCAGCTGACGCTGCGTTTCTCATGTGACATCCATCCACAGCGGCCCTGCCTGTCCCGGAGGGCGAGCATGCAGGAGCAGATGTCCTCGTCCTTCATGGAGTCGCCGCCGCCGCCGCCGCTGCATCACCTGGACGGCCCCTTCTTCGGCGCCGACCTGCTCCCCTCCGCGCGCCTCCGCCGGATGCGCGGCTACCGCCCCTCCCCCGGCGGCCTCGAAGAAGAGGTACGATACAGTACACCAGCCTCAGCACCAGTACTAAATACAGCACACCAGCCTCAGTACCAGTATCGCCTTGCGTTTGCTTGCACGCTTGACCCGCATCTAATGCCTTCCCCGCCTCGGCGTCCAGCGGTCGGTGCGCGATTACGTTGCCATAAGATTCCCGTGCGTATGATAATGCTACTACTAGTCTAGCCAGGGTTGTCATTGTGTGTGATCTGACAATGTTCGTGCCTGTAACCCCTGGGCGTTGGAGGTGGTTGACTTGCTTCTTTCGTGCGCTAAACGTGACGTGAGACCGTGGCCTTCTCGTTGGTTAACTAACGAACCCATGATTAAGCGGCTCCGGCCACGGAGCTCCGCTGCGCTGTGTGGCCATGGAGAGAGACCTGTCGACCATGGCATGCAGATGCAGACTACCAAGTGCAAATGCTAGAGACACACTTGCGCTCAACCATGGCCACGCTGATGATGGTGACATGGTCGGTCAAATGGTGTTCAAACTATGCTGTTTCGGAACTCTGGGGAAGGGGGTGGTGGATGTGGAACACCTGAGCATGACAACCCATAATGTGACTTTATTTTCATTCATTCTCTTTTCGGCATGCTGTTCTAGCGGATCGTACAGTAGGTGGGGAATGGGGATGGGCATTCTGGTGGGTGAATGATGGCTTTCAGACTTTGCCTCGGCGGTGCCCAGCTCGTCTGCCTGACTCGACTGGTCTTTTGCTGCTCAGGGGGGCCGGGCACCCTCATGATTTGCCTGTTGCTTCAGTCATAATCAGATCTCATGTTGTGGCCATTCCTTGTGTATTTCGTGATCACCTGGCTGGTGAGGGCTCTTATCTTATTGTTGGATGTGAAGATCCACCGGCGTTTCTTGTCCCTGTAGGCAACTATCAAAGATACGCAGAATGCAGAAAGTGGGTGGGGCAATTTAACATGCTTAGGGCAGGTGACATTTCCTAATTGGTTGGTTGGAGGAAACCTCTTTCTTGGTCTTGCCACTGACCCATGGGTCTAAGCGTGATACTAACTGAGAAATGAGCTACCCATTTGCATGCTACCTGAAGTATAACCTTTATAACCTTGTTGCATGTATTTTGGAGAGAAAATCGTAGAAAAATACACGATAAAGATAAAAGTATGAAATAATCAACATGTTATCCATGGACCTGAAAGTACCAATTTGTAGTAAGCCATATCATGTTGATAATGCTCACTTCTTTATTCTTTCATGCTTGTTACCATAAAGTGAACATTTTTAATGGAAGCATGCCCATCATCTAAGGTCATGGGTGTGCAGTGATTTCTGTCTAATGAAATGCAAGCAGGCTATGTCAGTTTCGAATGCTTACCTTTCTCATATGTATGGCAGATCATGATGTTTCAGACAAGAGTGTTGTTGGGAGGAATGAATGTGTATGATCGGTACCAGGATTGGCGCCTTGATGTCGACAACATGACTTATGAGGTCTGTCTTCCTCCCCCCCTCCCGTGTTCTGTAACAACACTTGGCATCATCATCGTGATGAACCAACTTCGTCTTAACAGGAGTTGCTTGAGCTTGGAGAAAGAATAGGACATGTCAACACAGGGCTACGCGAGGATGAGATTGTTCGCAACCTTAGGAAGGTCAAGCCTGATTCGTCATTCCAGTTTCCGACGGAAGTGGAGAAGAAATGCAGTATTTGTCAAGTACGCTCTCGCAGTTCCCGCTGCTTCTCTTTATATACATCGTTTGTGCAAGTGTTTAAACCGGGTCTGTCTATTCTGATGGATGTTGCAGGAAGAGTTTGAAGCAAATGACGAGATGGGGAGGCTGGGCTGCGGCCACAGCTACCATGTTTACTGCATCAAGCAGTGGCTTTCTCAGAAGAACGTTTGCCCGGTTTGCAAGACCGCTGTCACCAAGACTTGAACAAGTCCCGACCCCGGGCTACACCTATTGTGTACCTGGGTGGACCTAAAATGAAAAGTTTCACTTTGTTGCGTCTTGTACAGTCCGTTACATGTATTATTGTTGTCTAAACACATCGTCCATTCTTTTGCATTTCCAGATAGAAATGCCATATTGCGGCCATCTTTTATCAAACATATGGGTTCTGATGCGCTCCTTTAAGATGATGATGTGATGTCCAAGCGTTTTGCAGAACAGACCTAGGCTCAGGTTGCTGAATTGTGCTGTAGTGCTTATTTTTATACTAATTTGTAGTGAAAAATTAGCCGCAAAAGCAGACAAAGCGGATCAAGCAAACACTGAAAATAGATAACGGGTTTCTAATCCACTGAATTTTATTAAACTTCTTGGGCTATCTACAAGCAATAGCGAAATATTATTTCCTCTCTTGCATGAATGTGCGTGTCAGCGAGCCATGCGGATGTAAGAGCATTTACAGCAGCAATTTTCAAAATAGATGACCTAACTTTGTACTAACTTTAGTATAAAGTTGGGTCATCTATTTTGAAACGGAAGGAGTACAAATTTGAACCCTCAAACATCCGCCGACCGGAAGGGCCTCAAATTTGGCCATTTGCAACCACAAACCCTGTCCAAATCACCTAATACATGCAAACCCATGCACGTCGACCTTAGAAAGTGTAGTCCATGTTGGGCCGGCGGGACTGTTAATAAACACCAAATAAATAGTTGTACTTAAGATTTTTCACATCCGTATTGGGCCAACGGGTTTCAAATGTTTAGTCCCACCTTGCCACATGAGGAGCTAGTCGACTGGTTTAAATAGTCGGGCCGTCTAGCTGCGATAAGCTTCAGCCATCACTGCACCCTTAATTAAGAAGATGGACTATTACTATTAATCTTCTCTGCTTATTATAGAGAAGATTAATAGTCATGGCACGGCTCTTTTTGAATCACAATGTATCGACCGCACTATCAACAAATATGAATGTTTTTATATCTCTTTCATTATAATAGGGCTAGCAACGTACATGAACGAGATGAACTTGACGCTTAATGAACGCCACTGTCGAAGCAAAAGCACGCCAGAGCTTGCAACTTTGTTGCATCCTTCACACTATGTAGAGATGAGAGAGGAAGGAGATTCGGGTGGCTGCAGGTGAGACCGTTATGACCTGGAGCGGGGTGCCCGGCCGCCCTCGTATCGTCCCTACATCTAGTCCTGATTTGAGGGATACCGATTAATCCAGACGTTTAGGGATTAAGTGATGGGTCCAGTTGGATCAACTTTTCTTTTGACCGAACGGACGTTTAGAAACTACATGAGGGGGTCGGGCTGTAGATGTTCTAAGGGAAAAAGACTGACATTTACACGAAGCACGATCTTGTGCAGAAGCGTGAGTATCTCGTGGAAATTAAAGTACACCACGAAAGTGGAAGCCAATTTGCCATCCGATTCCTGCCTTACAGACTCCGTCATATCATCGCACTTTTACCAAAAAAAAAATCGTCGCACTAAGTAAAGAGGGTCACACACATGGGCGATTCTACTGGGGGGCTTTAACAGGCTCAAGCCCCCCCTCCAGCACTGTAAAATTTGTTTCTACTACTAGTTTTAAGACCCAGCCCAACTACTTGCAGGCCCAATCCAACACATATTTGCATGACCCAGGCAGCCCAGCCCGCTCTCCATTTTTTTCTAGATTCGCCACTGGTCACACATGAAAGTGTTCTGAAGAGATATAGGAAAGTAAACCACGATGTTTCGATCGCATACCCCACAGACATGTCAAAGGCGTAAGAAATGCAACAGATAGTATCAATCCTACCAGTATTGTACAGTCTACATATCCGGCCAAAACATCATACAATTTTAAGTGCTTCCATCAATACAAACATGATCGTACACTTTTATTTAATTTTGCTAACAATCATCAGTACCAGGGTAGGCGCGAAGCAAAATTTAGTTGAATCATCTTCAATCCCTCCTTTTGGTAATGTACATAGCATTTACAGGCGACACACTACACTAACGATCAACGGTTCTGAAGAAACAAACTAGAAGCTTGGTCTGCGCAAAGGAGACAGAAAAAAACACCTCTGCTACTCACCACTTCACTGACATTTTGGTGATTACAGTACCATCCGGTTCCAGTGTAGGATGACCATCGTGCAATGTCGTGTGGCAGTTCTGATGTATACAATGGCGTGTGGCAGTTCTGATGTATACGTGCAGTAAGAGCTTAAGAAGACACACCATCGTGTTGAGAGAGGAACTCTATTATGCAAGGGTACACTTCATGGACAGCCTACACGATAGCACAGAGCAATGTAAGAATCAAAGACTGAACTGGGTCCCTTAAGTACACACATATGCAGTTATGCACACATACCTTCCGCCCTCCAACCAGGTCATAATGTGCATAGTGAGGGCCTTCAGGTTTGCCAAAAACCTTATAGGTGACCAGATGCTGAGGAATTACTTTCACGGTTTCTGCAAATACAATGAAAAGTCAACTGTTAAAAGTAGATCTCCAACGAAATTCTGGAGCAACTCATAATCAAACAATGACAGTGTTATGGACAATAGGTCAAGGCCCAATGGCACGGTGTGGCATTGCTAAGCCTAAAACCAAACGCCCCATAAGCTAGGATTCGTCCCCAGGAATTACTATTCACCTGATAAGTATCAGGTCAACAGTACAGTGACCAACCATTTGAGGAGACAAGTATAGCAGGTTAAATAGTTAATAAAGGATATCTTTTTGGCAAGGCAAGTGGTGGGTGAATAGGAAGATAAGGATACTGTTCATTAAGTTAGGATTATATTCTTAGATACCAAGTTAGACTTTCCCCTACAAGGGGGCGCAACCCCATATGGATGATCTCTCCTCATCCCCAGCCCCATGGCTGGCCAACCCTCTCTCCTCGAGCAGTACCCCACGTTGTCACATTCATCTGTCTTAGGAGTTAGGACTGGTGCCTATCTTAAGCACGTGACAGATAGTCTACGTATATTGTGTAAGACCACCACCCACTTGCGCAAGGTGGTATATTTTGAACACACCGTGGAACCTTGGTGACCCTAGGCTCCTGGCTTGTGAGCTTAATCCCAGTCCCGGCCCAAAAATTTGAAACTGGTCCTAATACGTTAAGTACTAGGTGACAAATGAGCTCTCATTGCAAAACAACACGTTAAAATGGAACTTGTTGCCATACCGTAAACAGCTTCTGGGGGGCAAATCAGATCCTCGTCTCCAGCAAGGGCAAGCACCGGAACTTTGATTTTCCCTAAATGCTCTTTGAAGAAAAAAGTACCAGCCCTGTTTCGCAGCCCACCGTCACGGAATGAGGTCGCCAACTGTAATAACACCTTTGCTGGTACTGTGCCTGAATATTACATCAAGTTGTCACAAGAAATGTGAGAGCTTTTGTAGTAAAACTAACCATATAAAGATGAATTATCATGGTCAATTGTGCTGTGGCGTTTGGTAAAACTCGCTTAAAGTCTGCAGCTGCCCTATTATCTTCTTTAAAAGATGATTATAACAGTCAAACTTGACAAGTTTAGTGCACAACATATGGGTAGCATCTAATGCCTTGAATCCATCACCTTGCACTAAGATGAAACTGTTAAGGAGATAACAACCTCACCAAATGCAGGTAATGCAAGATAACAACTACACTCATGTGTGTAAACTATGCAACTTCTTCTGTTATCCAGGACATATCATACGTTCATACTATACTTGTATGTATGGCAAGTTAGCGGCTTCCATAGAGAAGACAAATATAGGCCTCGACTTACAGAAGTTATTCAAGATGAGCTTTGAAAGCAGTTCAGGATCCATCATATCCTTGGCTGAAATTTGAGAGCGTAGCAGTGACAATATGTATGGTGCACGAGATGATATAGGATAAGTGGTTGATAGTAATGTTCCTAGAGGGACAGCAGGAACACGCAACATCTCAGCTGGATCTGCCTAATAAAGAACAATGAAGATTAGGTTCCTGTCCATGTATTGAATATGTCAACCTGCTTGATGGTCAACTTACAAGAGGCACAAATAACTTGAGCGAGGAGTTGGATGTTGTGTAGTCAACTGATGAGGCCAGAGTAACAATAGCTGCCAGCTCTGGATCAGCCCCTTCGAATCCTTGTGAAGCAAAGAAAAAAAAAGGAGAGATGGTACTTAGTGCCATGTATTGGTAATAAAATCTGATCTTCCGATACAAAAGCAAGCTTAGAAGAACAAAAAATTAAGACCATAGTAGTAAAAATCACAAGGGCATCTGTAATGGAAGAACATATAATAAAATATTCTATGTAGAACTCGTAAATCAGCTGGTAGGAAATAATGTAAATGTACTGGAAGTGTGTCCTGAAATGGAGAAGAAACTAAAACAAATAACTGGCTGCAACAAACCTAATTTTATATGGCGAAGTTATACCTCTTTAATTTTAAACGAAGGCAGTATTATCATTGAATATGAACAGGAATTTATCACAAAATAAAAAGGAAGAAAAACAAAAGCCTATATTCCCACGTAAGAACGCCTATGATGGTATAACCCTAACACTGGTAGTGTGCCAATTACTAGCCTCATCCCTAATGTTGCACAGTTGGAAGTTGCTCAAGTTTTGGACAATCCTGAAACCGTTCTCTTTCCAAATCTACCATGAGACAAGCAAGAGTGCAAAACCAGGGTTGCTGGTACTAGTGATCGCCAGTCATCATCCATGGACCCACCATCCCGCTAAACACTGCCAATTACTAACCTCATCCCTAATGTTGCACTGTTGGAGGTTGCTCAAGTTTTGGACAATCCTAAAACCGTTCTCTTTCCAAATCTACCATGAGACAAGCAAGAGTGCAAAACCAGGGTTGCTGGTACTACTGATCGCCAGCCATCATCCATGGACACACCATCCCGCTAACCATAAGGAGGCTTTTACCCAGCAGGCCAGCACGGACGGCGGTTTAGTCTATGGGGTACCTTCTTTTTGTGTATGTCGCTTTCATTTGAGACTATGCTTGTTGCCTGTAAAGGATGTGTGCATCTCGTTATGTAGAGGCCAGGAGTGAATTCACACGGCTGTATCACCTTGATGAGGCCGTCTATAAAAATCCCTTTATCGAAAAATCTTTCCAACCTTGACAAGATTTGACCAATGTCTGGATGATGGCAGTCCATTCAACTTTACCAAGCAAGCTCTATTTAAAGGAAGCGCTAGCAGGAATAAGCCACCAAGGACTAGATAAAGCAGACACGACAGGTTGCCGTGATTTCTTAATACTATAGTGGAGTGTGTTCATGACTTAGAACTTTGCCTTTGCTTTAATACGCAATGGCCAAAAGCTATGGTACAAGGGACAGTTCCTGAGAGGCTTCCAGACCCCCATATCAAACAAACAAACAAATAAAATTCAAAGGCATCCATGGATGCTTGTGGAAATAATTACAGTTAAAAATGGAAGTGTAATATTGGTGTGTTATACCTCAGCTATCCTAGCCTCACTACTAGTTGAAGATGTGAAATATTCAATTTGCTAAAACGAAAAAAGTTGTTTGCCCTGCTCTAAGAAAGATTAAGAGAAAACCCAAAAAGGCACAGGTTAATGAAACATACCACACTTCGAAACCATTGCATACAACAAGATTCCTCCCATAGAATGACCAATAGCAAGCAATTTTCCATCCTTGGGTACACTCTGCTGTTTTATATAATCTATCTGCACAAACAAAAAATCACCATACTTCTTACTAAGCAGTTCAAGGTACCTTCAATTAATCTCTCAACCGTAAAGGGTATGTCTACAAACCGCTGCAGGTACATCCTCCTCCAGGTAATGGTCAAAGTCCCAATCATAACTAATAATCAGCTCCAGCTGCTTCTGGAGTTCTTCTATGGTTGCGGAGAGGCGTTCTTGCCAGCCAAATAACCGAGGGGAAACATTTTGTTGACCTTCCCCAAGAATCTTCACGAGGCGCTGACTTAATTGGCTAATTTGATCATATATTGCTGATGTCTGTGGCAATTCCATCAACCCTAGAAATTTATCTGCAACCTCCTCAAGACTACTAGTTAATGAGGCATCAGGGACAAGTTCTGTCACTCGATCAAAAAAACTGTCAGTGATGTTTCTCAGTTGGCTATCTCTTACATAGCCTGAAAATGTTACACTCAATTGTGCCAAAGCATTTGCTAACTTTGTCACCAGTTGTGGTTCTTCTGATGTGTTTGTTTCTAGCACATTCGTGTCTGTTAGTACTGGAACTTCAGAACTTTGAGGTTCATTAGTTGACATATCCTTGGCAGGAGGAACAACATTTACTTTCTGTGTCAAAATTTTATCCACACCTGAATTAGAGGACATGTCAGACTTGGTGCTAGCTGCAGCTAATTCTGATCCACGTGTGCTGAGGCCTGCACCACGCAACTCAACAATCCATGTATCAAACCCTTGCATAGACATATGACGGGCAAAGGAAGCCTGTCATCATTTCATTTGTGTCAATGGAAGTCCAGGGTAAAGGGGAAGCCATAAAAGAAATGCCTACAAACATGGCAACAATAACAAGGAAGACAGTAGATGTATAACTGTTTCTTTCTTGAGTGTAACATATATTAAATATAATACAAAAAAGACAGGTAATTATGGACCAACCATAAAATTCAGAGGCAGGAAATGTTTTTGAAATAGTTTGAGCCCTGTGATACAAGCACACCAGCAATTACACCTTTCATTTGACTCTTGAAGAGTGCACAAGCATAGTCTTAACTGCAAGCTTCATAAGTTCTACAGATTCCCCTTCTTAAATCGTGTACAATAAGCCAACAACTTAGGCAAACATTCCTACAACAGTTACTGGAAAACTGAAGATACGGCTTTTGTTTTCCGTTAAATATGTGTTGTTTCCATACTTGTGCAAGAAAAGGTACTTCATTGCCGTCTAGCTGCATCCCAGTTATGCAAGTAAACCCCAATTGCGGCTCTAATAAATTTCATATTAGCAACATATGAATTCATAACTATCCGCAGTATAATTAAACACTATGTTTTGTTCACAATAAATTTCATAACAACTACTCCCCCGTCCCAAAATGTAAAGACCATTTTTGACACTATGATAGTTATACTATATTTTGGGATGGAGGGAGTACATGTAAGCGTTTTCAAATTTTGGTACTTCTAGGTCTGCTGATTGCTATATCCCTGGAGGTGTGCTAGGATGCATTTTACTGCAATTGCAATTAGCCAATTACAGTAAAACAATAAAGATGCCGATAAATATAATACAAACTTCTCTTGAAGAGTGGATTTTGTGTTTGTTTGTTCATAACACTCGGTTTACTCCATGATATGCTTACTGAACTTTCCTTTCTAAATTTTTGCTTATCTTATTTCCATACTTCTGTCGCCCCATCCGCATATGGGTGGAGAACCCGTCGCTGTCTCTGCTGTGATACCGGAGGCTCTAGGGAAGTCGGAGGAGAGAGCACTCATCTCGGGGTGGGCTTACTACAATTAATTTCACTGTATTTACATTACAGAATACATCAAAATTAAAACTGAATTAAACTACAGGATAAACAGAGTAAAATGAACTAAAGGACCACAAAAAATGGACAGAACCTCGTCAGAGGGCCGGGAGCTCCCGCAATTTCATTAAGAATAGAGTTGATCCACTTAATGAGGGAAACCGGATCCGAAAATCATACAACACTCGGTTTAAATAAGGAAACCCGAGTGAAAACCAAAAACAAACACAAAAGACACAAAAGAAACTAGAGCTTGAGGATGGGGGTTTAGATGGACAGGTCGAATCCTCATGATACGTGAGTCCAAGCTAAAAGATGGCTACCAGTTTGCATTTGCAACATCATTATACAAGCAATTTACAGAGATTAATCAAACATCATATGGATTTCTTCACAAAGAAAACAAAATGTACTGTTTGCAGCGCGATTTATCGATAACAGTAGCGTAGTTATAGATCAACTCACCCCAGGGGACAGGTCGAATCCCACCGCATTGGTGGCCACACCGGACAGCAGCATCAGTGGGTGGTTCCTCTTGGGCGCCTGCACGAACCAAGCAAGCACGAGATCAACACCAAACAAAAGCAACCCTGACGAAGCCCGGGCCACCACCCTAGCACTGCACAGGATCAAGCACACACCTCAGGCGGCGGGCGGTACCTCCAGAGCGCGAGCCGCCACTCGGTGCCTGGCACGGGCGCGTAGTGCAGCTCGTCCGCCGTGCAGATCGCGGGCTTCGCCCCCTCCTCGCAGTCGCACGCCGCTGCCGCGGAGGCGAGGACACGCGAGGTGGAGGGCGAGGGCGAGGAGGGGGGCGGCGGCGGAGGTTCCGAGGCGCTGTGGGAGGCGAAGGCGCGGAGCCGCAGCGGCTGGGGAGGAGCGCACGGGGATGCCCGCACGATGGGGAAGGAGGAGAGGTGCGCCACGGCGGCGCCGGCGAGGAGGGCCCGGAGGCTGGCGCCGTGGAGGAGCGGCATGTCGTTGGGCGGTCGGAGTGCTCGCTTTGTTTCTGGCGTCTTCTCTTTGCTTCGTCTCCGATTTGGTTTTTACAACCCGGTCCGACCCCGACCGACCGACCGGTATGTGTGGGCAGCGGTGGTTCCATGTTGCGCCGGTAAATCCCCGCGGCCACGTTGGGTTTGACACGGTGGGTGCCTCTTGCCGCTAGGGTCGAGAACGGACGGAACTGAACACTTATCAGTTGTCACATTTGTTTGTCAGTGTATTTTAGCAGAAGCGAAAATGAACACTAAAATGACCGGAAGCGAAAATGAACACACAAAAACATGAACGGTCAGCTTGTTTGAACTGGACTACTGGACCGTAAAGTTGTGATGCACAAATTCATTGACACAATAAATATGCATAACTTGCAGACCAATTCAAAACTACTGATGGTGTTTCAGATTAGGGGTCACTCACTAGTAACCATGTCGTCTTACAGTCACGTGGGCAGGGCCGAGGACCCCATCTACATGGTATCCACTTGGGTCGGGTGCGAACTCGCCCAAACCTGCACCCGTCCCAATAATTTTTGCCCAAACCCGTACCCGCACCCCGGGTTTCATATTGTTCCCATACCCGTATCTGGCCGGGTGCGGGCAATACCGCGGGTGAAAATACTTATCTCGGCCACCTTTCATTTCATATTTTGGCATGCATTATTTCGGCATTTCAGTGTGTAAAACACAACATTTCAGCATTTCAGTATATAAACATAACATTCCAGGATGTGCTTGTCCACTGGAGCTCGAGGCATGGCGGAAGGATGTGCTCTGGCAGCCTGGCGGTGCTCGCGTGGAGGAGATGGAATGGAGAACAGGCGGTGGAGGGAGGAGATGGCTTGGTCTGTTGGTTGTCTAGAGTGGAAGGAGGAGACGAGGAGATGAGGGAGGTGGCCGGTCGCATCACTGCATGCCTCGACCACGACCGGTGGATCCTTCCCTAGGGTTTGTGACGGAAGAAAGATGGGGACGAAGGAGGTTTCTCTGGTGTGAGTGACAACGCGGGAGGGGTACGGGGAGGGATTTCGGGCCGAGGCTGCGACTGAGTAAAGCGACCTTAGAGTTTTCGCATTTTTAGTGAATTACATATAGGGCCTACCTGTCATAATGAATAAGCATATAGGTGTACGAGTAAGGATATTGCCTTCCCATACCCGTACCCGACTTACCCGATGGGTATAATTTTTTCCTAATGAAAAACCAATGGATAATTATTTACCCTTATCCTATAGGGTTGTTACCTGTTCAGGGTAACCAACACGTGGCAGCCATTATAACGGGTTGTCGTTAAGCTGTCGGGTGTTGGTTTTGAATCTGATACCTGTTAATAGCCTAGACCAATGACAATTTTTCACGCGCCAATTTCTCATTCGCTGACGGAACCGAAACCATGCGTCAGCTCTACGCGAGGTAGCAGGTATCTGTTGTCATATTGAGGAGCCCATGGCACATAGAAGGAATATTTTTCAAAGACTTAACACATACTCCAAGACTTAATGTCGTCTACAACACATGTTACCTTATACTCCCTCCATTCCTCTATGCAGTGCGCCTTATTTTTCTAGCAAAGTTCCACAATGTAGTGCACGGTTGGAGTATTGGATGAAAATACCGCTGGCTGGGTTGGAAGTGTGTGCCTGGGAAGTTTCCATCGCTGGGCACATGCATGTGGACATACTTGGTGGAGGGGATCAGCCTATGAGGGTCCAAAGTACACATGCCACCACACTCCTTGGTATTGTAGTCAGGACGAAACACGCAATATATAAAGGAGCAGAGTGAGTACTTAGTCAACCTTGTTGTAACCCACCCCCCAGTACCTATATGAACCAGGGGATGGGATTCATCGATCTCGTGATAGATCAACATGTACTTTGTACTCCATCCCAAATTAATACAACACAAGTAGGATGTAGGATTTTATCTCTTTGGATTTGGGTAAAACCTCGTGTCTCCATCACCATCGTATCAAGGCTACTAGCTTGGGACCCTCTACCCGAGATTAGTCGGAATTGACTCCGTCAATAGCGACTACCTTTTCTTCTCATGCAACTTTAGCACCAGGATATGTAACTGTTTGAAGATTAGCTGGGGAGTTGGTACCTCCATTAGAGAGGGATTTTGGTCATCCATTTATTTTTTGCGAAACACATCATAGATATAGACACTCTCACACACATACACTCGCATATATGAACGCATGCACGCACATCCTATCTGTATGAGCACCTTCGAGAGACTGTGCTGAGGCGCCTCGCTGTCAACGAGAATGTTCCTCCCCACTGAAAAAATAAATTCATTAAATCCAGGAAAGTGCACCCATGCCAAGTCTAATACTTGAACCCAAGTGGGCAAGTTTCCCACAAGGAACCTGACCATCTAAGCTACGCTCAGGTCACGCCATCCCTTCTTCTTTGAAGTGGTCATTTCTGTTGCTTGAAACATCTGGCTCATTAGAAATAGAAGATTTTTGTCGGGAGAAGCCATCCTTCCTTTCTTGGAAATGTGAATTTGTACATGATATCTCTCTCCCCTCCCTTAGGGTTAAGGCTTCTGTAAAGCCCAAGCTTCTGGGTTGGATCGATGGCCTCCATTAGTTTTTAGGTAAGGATAACATGTATATATTTAGATCCCCTCCTTTTCTCTTTGCTTTTCATTGTAGCTTTGTAAACTTTTCGGGACTTGCAATTAGACCTTTTGCAAGAAAGATTGCGGGGCTTTTGCACATTATAGTTAGTTAAAAAAAAGTACACATGTGTAAAACTGGCTTCATTGTACTTGTACAAGTTGATGTTGATCATTACTTGTCGTTAACCGTGAATAACCATTCTTTAGCTATTCGTAACATTGCAACATCTAAAAACCATGGAAAGCTATTATTAATAATTGTACACCATTATGGTGGCAATTCTTCACGACTAACATAGCAATATATTGACAAAATCTAGCAACTAGTGGTGGCAAATAAATTCATCAAAATATGACAACATGAAATCTTGTTTTGAAGCCCTCGTTGGGATGAACTCACCGGTGAAGACATATCATTAATCGGATTAGGTTTGTGATTAATACGATGGTGTCAACAAAAACTCGAGATTTTGCAAGTATGTATGTGCTCTTTCTATAAGGAGAAAAATCTCATGAAAGTGATAACACGAAAAGACTTACATGCATACGGTATGCAGACCCCCCCCCAAAAAAAAGTGCCACAATATAATCATCTATTATACTACTCCACTGTTCTAGAATGTAGTGCATATATAGTTTTTGAAAAGTTGGATAGAGTTCTTATGTCTCTATCTTTTGAAACTATCTTTCCTTTGATGTTTCTTAGACCTTACCTAGAATACTATTTGATCATGCACCCTTGCTGATGGATTTTGGTTTAAATTTGCCCAAGATTGTTAAACCTGTTAAGTTTGAGTTGTATTGGTTCCTTAGAGAGGATTTGGATGCTGCAACGAGGAGTGTTTAGTGTGATGTTTATCCTGGGAAAACACATAAGGACACATGGCACACCAGAAAAAGAATCCTTAGAAGAAATCTTAAAATATGGAATCCGAATTATGTATCGTTGTATAAAAAATAGAATGTTTTCCTTACTAGTAAGATAGATGAAATAGATAGGGATAGTGAGGTTTTTGGCTTAACTAGAGATAAATATCTGGAAAGGAAAAGCTTTTAAGGGGTTTTTAAATAAGATTAATAAAGAGGAAGAGATCAAATGGCTGCAGAGATCTAAGAAGAATTAGTTGTTGGAAGGAGATGCTTTAACTTGTTACTTTATTTCTAAAGCTAGTAGTAGGAAGAGGAAGAACATAATTATTTCTCTTAATACTGATAACAATGAAACTATTCAAGGGGATAAAGACCTTCTTCTTTATGCTACTTCTTTTAATAAGAATTTGTTTTGGTCCCGCCACTCATATGCTAGATATTTCTCTTGATATTGACATGCCAACATTATGAGATGAGGTAGATAGGACAAAGTGGGATAGAGCTTTCACTTTAGATGAAATTAAAACTGCTGTTTTTGAGATGAAACATAGTAAGACACCAGGACCTGATGGTTTGCCTATGGACTTTTACTAGAAGTATTGGCACATCATGGACCTTATTTGTTGGACCTATTCGGTGATTTTAAGAAGGAAAGTTAGATTTAGCCAGATTTAACTATGGAGTCTTAGCATTTATTCCAAAATGTGGGGATGTTGAGACTCTTTAACAATATATGCCAATTTGTCTTCTTAATTTAAGCTTTAAGATTTGCACTAAAGTATTGAATAATATATCTACTACTCCTATAAAAGCACGAAGTGCGGAGATCCAATGCAACATCCTATCCATCTACCGATTTCTGTACGGTCCGGATATGCTCGCTAAAACGTGTTTGATCCAAAACATGCATTTAGCAACCGCCAGCGTGCCGCGCAAAACAAATTTTCGTGTAGCTGCCCACGGCCCACCCCAAACGCATCTCCCGCAACCTCCGGTCGCCGCACACCCCGACGCCCAACTCTCCAACCTCCCTCCCCACACGTTGCGCTCCATCCCCGTTTGCCCACCATCGAACCAGCCTCCACCCCACGCTACCGGCACCGCACGTCGCACGTCCAGTACACTGCCCCTCTCAGACTGCATGGCATGCTGCATGACGCATGGCAGTGCGAATCTGGCTCTACAGAAGCGGTTGCCACCCATCCCGTTCCAGTTCCTTGCGCTAACCGAGAGGAAGGGAGGGAGCGGAGGAGCACGGAGACAATGCAGACTGTGGAAGAGGTAAGTAGAGAGCACCCCTCTTCCTTTTACACCTCCAATGAGATGATTTCATTTGAATATTAAATTATTCATACGCAATGCAACTTTACTGGAAACGGTAATTTAAGTGGGAAGCGGATTAGTTATGTGCGGAAGGATGCACTTCAATCACCATCAGAGGCCATGTTACTTCCTTTTCTTTGATTTCATCTGAA